TGGACCCACGCCCCTCGCCGTCGGGGACCGCGGCGGCCTGCGGCGCGACGTGGGACACCTCCTTCCCGGCCCGGCCGTCGGGCCGGCCGCGCGCTCCGAAGTTGGACGAAGAAAGTTGGCGGTGGGGCGGGGCGGCGCACAGCTGGCGGAGGAAGGGGTTAAGTTTCGGGAAGCCGCCGGATGACGTTGCCGGGCTGGAGTCCGGTCGGAGGGGGATGGGGGCGGGCGGAAGGCGTCTGAGGCGATGGGGAGGAGGTTAGATTGAATGAGGGGCCGGCGGGCTGAGCGCGGCCGGCTGTGGGCTGCGGCTTGGCTGTGCTTCGAGGGTCACAGCGGCTCCCCGACGAGGCGGGTTGGGGTCGCGGGGCTGCGGGGGACGCCGCGCGGAGACCGGGGGCGCGTCCGGGGTCCGGGCGGCCGCGGTGGCAACTTCCCGGAGTGCGGGAGGCGGCTCCCTGCTCCCCCTGGCGGCGGGGCCGGCGGCACCGTTTTCACGGCGGGGCCGCGCGGAGCTCGGCGCGAGGGCGCCGGCGTGGGTACCGGGCACCCCGGACCCTACCTGGTCCGCCCCGCCCGTGGCCACATAAATGGGCCGGCGGTGCCAGGGCCTGGGGGAAGCAGGCACCGCTGCCGAGCCGGCCAAGAGCGCTGGCGTCCGCCCCAGCCTGCCAGGCTTTCCGGGGCTTTGCCCTGGGGAAGAGCCCGTGCTTCCAGTCGGGCAACCCAGATATTTCAGGGTCCCCTTCCCCAAGTTATAAATCGTCGGTTGTAGCTCCGTATGGTGTAAAAGTTAAAGAGAATGGACTCTGAAGTCCTCGCACCTCAGAGGCTGACCTTGGCCAAGTGGTTTCACCCCTGGTCTCAGTTTCCCCGTCTAAAAAAGGGTTACTCATCATTTTTACTTCAGAGAAAAGCTGTGAAGACCTTGCACATGTAGGAAGTAGTCAACAAGTTTTGGCTGTTAACGTGGAGATGAGCTTTTAGGGCGCAGGGCTTGCAGAAGGCACAGGGTCTAGATTTACCCCATATGCCACCCGTGCTGACCCTGCCGTCTGCTGGAGTCACTGAAGCTCTCTGAACCTCACTTTGCTTATTTGTACCTTGGAGATAGTGCTACCCACTCACAATAGGGTTGAGGGAGGCTCTCAGGGAAGTGCTGGGAAAAACTGGGACCTTGCGCAAATAGAAGGTAATTTGGCCATCCCTCCCTTTGGGAGGGAGGTCGGAGGTCAGGAGGGACTGGGAAGCACCAAGGAAATGAAACTGGAGGTTGCCAAGAACTGCCTCTGGGAGAAGGCTAGCCAGGTTCCTGGCAACCTTCCCCTTCAGTCTTGGTTCAGTGTCCTGGGACCCTTAGGGTAGGGGGCATCTGGTTAGCAGTTACCTGGAGTTCGGACCAGTTTCATCCTCACATCCCAGGCTAGGAATCCCTTCAGAACTGCAGCTGCTGGGTGTCCCTTTTTGGGAGGCCCATGTCTTCTGTCCAGCACTCCCAGGAGTGACCATTACACGTTTTACACCAGCCCTACTCAGTTGGGGAGCAGCCTCCGCGACCGCTGCCTCCCTCTTTTCTCTCTGTTGGCCTTAGTTTGTCTTAACTTCCCATTAATCTAACACCCCGAGAATCTCGTGACCCCATGGTGTGCTACTTACTGTGGTGATGTCTTCATTTGTTTATGAACTTTGTAAAGGTCAGCCCCACTGTGGCCTGCCAACCTGTTTCCCTTTCAGAAAGAAGCTTCCGGTTTTGAGGTCCTGGAGATGCCACGTCTCTCTAGTTAAGCAAAGGAGGGGGGCGGGGGGCAGGCCTCCAAGTAGGTTATGTCTTCTCTTTACGTGGAGCCATGCAAGCCTGTGGGGGAAGGCCAAGTTGTGGGGAGCATAAGAAAGGGATCTTGGAAGCAGGGTGTTCTCTGTGGATAGAGTTTTAACAGAACTCTTTTCTTTCATAGTTAGGAATCAGCCTCTGAGCCTCTCAAGATGTTAGATCGAGAAGTTAGATGGTACCATGGCATAGGGATATTTTTTGGGAGAAATATTCACATGGGAGAGTTTTAAATAAATCTTGAATCATCAAGTCACATTTGAGCAATTATGCTCTCTGCTGAAATGAGCCCTAACTAGACAGGCTGCAATAATTATATAGTTCCAAACTTGGTTTAAATGGTTGAATACAAATGATACAATTGGCATATTGATTAAGTAGTAGGGACACCTTTTCTGAGTGTCAGGATCCCATATTCTTCTTACTTGTCCTTTTATCCTGGGAGCTCTAACTAATAGATGAATGACACATAGTGAGTCAACAGTTCTTTGGAGACACCAGATTTTTTTTTTTGCTAAAATCCTATTCGGGGAGGAAAAAATAATGGATAGTCAGAGTTAATGAAAGTAGAGACTGTGCTATCCATATTTGTACATCCTGGGCCTGTAGTGGTTAAGGCCTGGCCTGCAACACACAAATATTTACTAAATGAAGTAGACAGCTATACCTGTTAAAATATTCTGTATAGTTACCCAACTCTGTTGGAATAAATGAAACTGAACCAACTTGATTTTTTTTTTATTATTGTTGTTGAGAATATGCCCAGCAAAACATACACCAGTTCAACAGTTTCTACACGTACCGTTTAGTGACACTGATTACATTCTTCAAGTTGTGCATCCATTCTCGCTCCTTTTCTGAGTTGTTCCTCCCATATTCATATAAATTCACTGCCCTCTAAGGTTCCTATCTAATCTTTAGAGTTACTGTTACCGGTTTGATACCATATAGATAGTTCTTAAAAGAGCATAATGCTCATGGCAGAGCTTTTTTACTAGTTAAGCTAAACTATGGTTTTAAGAAGACTTCAGGGGATATTTTTGGTTTAAGGTTTAAAGATTATCTCAGGGCAGTAGTTCCAGGGGTTCATCCAGCCTCCATGGCTCCAGAAAGTCTAGAGTCCATCAGCATTTGAAATTCTTTTCTGCATTTTCCTGCTTTTGATCAGGATTCTTCTATAGAATTTTTGATCAAAATGTTCAGTAATGGTAGCTGGGCACCATCCAGTTCTTCTTGTCTCAAGGCAAAGAAAGCAGTTGTTCATGGAGGCAATTAGCCATACATTCCATTTCCTCCTCCTTTTCCTGACTCTCCTTCCTCTTGCTCCAGGTGAATAGAGACCAATTGTTGTGCCTTGGATGGCAGTTTGCAAGCTTTTAAGACCCTAGGCGCTACCAACAGACTAGGAGGTAGAGCAGAAGCACTAAACATGTTATTAGGCCAGTTAACTGGGATGTCCCATGAAACCACGACCCTAAACCTCCAAATCAAGGAACCAGATCCCACGAGGTCTTTGGCCTTTGGCTGTACATAAGCAGTCTCAGCAGCTACTCTTTTTTTTTTTTTTTCTCATTGTAAATATTTCTATCACACAGCTTTTGCCAATTCAACTTTTTACAGGTTGATAGCAGTTAACAGTAATCAGATGTGCAACACTACCCTTAATGTGAAATTTCATCACTGTTAACCACCCCCTTTCCTCATCCCTCCCGCCTGGTAACCATTAATCAACTTTGGTCTCTATACATTTGCCTTTTCTTGTTTTTTTATACAAGTAAGGTCATACAATATTTGTCCTTTTGTGTTGGACTTATTTCACTCAGCGTGTCTTCCAGCTCCATCACATTTCACTCACTCGTGTCCTCCAGCTCCATCCATATTGTAGCGCGTATGAAGACTTCATTTCTCCTACTGGCTGAGTAGTAGTCCATCGTATGTATGTACCATATTTTGTTTATTCATTCATCTGTTGATGGGCACTTGGGTTGTTTCCACCTTTTGGCTGTTGTGAATAGTCCTGCAAGGAACATTGGTGTATGAGTCTCTGAGTTCTCTACTTCCAGGTCTTTTGGGTATATACCTAGGAGTGGAATTGCTGGGTCATATGGTAGTTCTGTTTTCCATAACGGCTGTACCTTTTTATATTCCCACCAGCAGTGGGTAAGGGTTACAGTTTCCCCACATCTTCGCCGGTGTTTGTTATTTTCTGTTTTTTATCTTATCCGTCCTAGTAGGAGCCAACTTTATTTTATTTTTATTGTACTTCAGGTGAAGGTTTACGGAACAAATAGTTTCTCATTAAACAGTAGTACACGTATTGTTTTCTGACATTGGTTAACAACCCCATGACATGTCAACCCTCTCCCTTCTGGACCTTTTTTTTTTTTGGTGAAAATATACATAGCCAAAGATATACCATTTCCAAAATTTCTACATGCACAGTTCAGTGACATCGACTACACTCTTCCAGTTGTGCTGCTATTCTTATTTTAGAGAAAGTGTACAGAACAAAATAGTTTCTCATTAAACACTTAGTACACGTTGTCCTATGACAATGGTTAACAACCTCACTACACATCAACACTGTCCTTATTCAGCCTTGGGTTCTGCCAACTTTATTTTTAAAGTTTACTGTTATAGAATCTGATTCTATGACTTTGACGTGCATTTAGGCCTCTAAACAACCCCATTCTGTAGGACGGGTGTGGTTGTTCCCGTTCAGTGGATGAGAATGCTGAGGCCTGGCAGGTCAGGCGATTATCAGGCCAGCTGCCAGGTGGTATGGGCACGGCCTGCCAAATGTTCACCTGCAAGGCTGTTAATTCCCCTCTTCCAGGAACAGCAGTTACCTGAGGGAAGACACGGAAATATGAAACGTCAGTAGAAGGAAGGTGGGTAGTG